ATTCCAGATCCGGCAGGCCACATACGGGATCCAACCTTTCAGATGGAACCCACAGGCCAGCTGCTGAGGGAACGAGGGAACAGAGCAAGGGAGGAGGTCACGCCACAGGGCGCCTGGCGGGAATCCATGCACAAGAAGTCCTCACGCATTGGGGGCAGACAGGATGACGGTAAAACATGGAACGTCCAAGGTGATCCACGCTCGCTTCCGGCACTCGTTAGATAGTTCGTGCGTGGTGCACTGAAGGAGGACAAGGAAGAGGAAGAGGGAGAGGAAGAGGAAGAGGAAGAAGAGGCGAATAGCAGTAAAGAGGCAATCCGTTCGTGCACTCGTAAGCTTCCCCAGATAGCTGGAGACACCTGCAAAGCCGTCCCACACGGCGAGCGCGAAAAGAGGAGGAGGGCGAGAGACTGAAGACAGAGAGCGGCGCAGAGGAGGACATGCCGTCACGAACGACAGACGAGAACCGAGCCGAGCGCACGCACCCACCCCCAGAAGTGGAAGAGCAGCAGGTCAGCTGGCACGAAGGTGCCGCCTCACCGCAGCATCCCGCCGCGCGACGGGCGCGAGGGCCCTGTGGCGACGGAAGGGCGAGCCCGCAGCAGAAGGGCCCGGGGCCAGCACGATGGGCGGCTGCAGGCCGACGGGCAGACAGAAGCACCGGACGAACCTGCCAGCACCAGTTCCGGAGCGGGCGCGCGGACACCTTCAGCTGGTGGCGCCCCTTCCCTGTCACCGTCCTTCGAGAGGCTGCCGCCCCTCTTCCTCCTCCTCGTCCTCCCCATGCCCTCCCCGGCTCCTCTTCCTGCTCCTCGTCCTCCTCGTCCTTCCCGTCGTCCTCCTGCCGTCCTCCTCCTCCTCGCTCCCCCCCCCTCCTGCTCCCCGGGCGGGACGGGGGCCCCGGAATGAGCAGATGGTGCTTGGGGCAGCCCCTGGCCCCTTGACGAGCGCTGCCCGGACCCCAGACGTTCGCAGGTGGATTGGGCGTGGCCTAAAAGGAGAGGCAATACATCGGGGGGGGGGGGGCCAGAATGTACCCTTCGGGCCCTAGAGGCCCCCCTATAGGGCCCGAGGCCCTACCCCTAGGGGGCCCGAAAGGGCCCCTTCAGGGGCCCCATATAAGCACCCCTGCTTCCTTGAAGGCGCGGGCCTTGTCTGTAGATGCAGGGTCGGCGCCTTCTAAGAAGCAGCCTCCTTCCAAGAAGCCTTTGGTTGTCCCTCTCCTGGCCTTTCTCCTGCCTCGGTCCTGCGACCTCTCTCCGTGTTCCCCCCCCCCCCTCTTCCTCCCCCCTCCGCCTTTGCCTTCTTGGCCTCCTCCACCTCCCTCCTGCCGGCTCCTCCTGCTGCTCTTACTTCCTCCTTGCGCCGGTGGCATCGGGGTTCGGTGTTGAACGTTTCTTCCTCGTCAACCTCCTCCTGCTCCTCCTCCTCCTCCTGCTCCTCCTCCTCCTCTCCCTCCTCCTCCTCCTTCTCCTCCTCCTCCTCTTCCTCCTCCTCCTCCTCCACCTCCTCCTCCGCCTCCTCCTCCTCCTCCTCCTCATCCCCCTCTTCCTCTTCCTCCGTAGCCATTGTGGCGCAAAACGGCATGTTTTTTGGTTCCCAGCTCTCGTATGTTGATTGTTCATTCTCGCCAGTGTGGTATTGCACGGCGAATGTTGACTATTACGCTCTTGTTTGTTTCGTCGCCAGGCAATTTATGAGGTTGATTGCGTCTTTTTCGGATCACCATGAACATGGGTTGCAGATTGCCGCACATCACGAGAGGAGAGGGTTATTTACTACGACTCGACGGCGCGCCAAGCAAATAGCCACGGATTTCAGGTCTCGTGTCATATCACGGTGCCTTGGTGCAAAGAATTGTTGGACACCACATTGGAGTCTGAGTTGCGCGGTGCCTACGTACTTTGATCAACAGTTGCGGGCGCCTGTTTGTGCTACACGATTCCTTCATCATCAGGCCCATGCAGGCGTTCCCCTATAATAAGCCAGGGCCAAAGAGTTCATCCCGACGCAGCAAGCTGGTGCCAAGCAGTCGGCTTTGGATTACTCTGGAATGGTCGTTTCGGTTCCCCTTATTCTTCAGGGCGCTCAGCAGCTTTATGCTCAACAGCTCACCTAAGATCAAAACTTGGTGGATGCACAAAATCATTCGATTGCTCGCCTGAGGGGCGTTTTGGACAAGTTGGGTGCCCCTGTCGAAGTCCAGCCAGTCTTTCTCAGCGGCGTCCTTGCCGTCCCATGGTGAGGACGACGGCGGTTCTGAGACTCACTCCTCTGCGGACGTTCGTGTTGAGCTTGACGGCATTCACGCCCAACTGGGACATCATCCCAGCAAGATCGATGCGCGGATCACCTCTGAGCTTACAAAAGGTCGTTGCTGGTGTCCCTGGTCTGCTCCGCTCCGTCGTATCGGACGCCATCGAGGCGGGCACGGTGGTTCTCCCCGCCTCGGATCTGAGTCTCGTGGCGAACGCGCTGGAAGGCAGATGGATGAGAATGCTGCAGCTGATGCATTGCCACAGAGACGGGTGGAATGCGAACAAAAAACACGGTGGTGTCGAGGCCAGGCAGCGGCACGTCGGAGCATCACCAGAACGTGGCGCCCGCGCCCAGGCCACGGTGGAAGAGCGCTGCCGCATCGTCAGAACGCAGTTGATGGTGCCCAGTGAACGTCCAGACCATACAGCCAAGTCGCTGAAGTAAGGAGCAGTTTGTGTAAGAAAGGGGCTCGATATTCCTGAGGTCCTTCTATGGCTTTTCCCCTAGCCTCCCTCGTGCACGCGGGCGCTTGTGGGGCCGAAAAGGGGCTTCGTTCCCTGGTTATCGCTCCTTCTTTCCGCAGCCCGACTGCACATGAGCCTCTTCGCATGTAGGAGCCGCCCGAGGGCGGGCAGCATCGAGGCCAGCTTCGCGGCCTGCCCCGTCGGCCATGCCGTGCCGCCACGGGTATCTTTCGCACATCCTGGTGGTCGTGGCGGCGGCCAGCATGCAGAGAGGGTGCCGGCTGGCTTTGCCATGGCGGCGGCCTCAGCGCACGCGCGCTGAGAGTAACCCCCCAAGCGCGGCCAACCGACTACGGGAAGTTTGAGAGCCACGACGTGTTCGAGGTGCTGCACGTTATCGACTCGATGGCTCACGGGCTCAAGCCAGAACCTGACGTGTGTCCCGGATGGCCTTCACTTCGGGTGGCAGGTCAGTTACCTCTTCTTCCTCCTGGCCTGCAGGATCACAGAGCCAGCGTTGTCTTCCTCGCGGTCTGCGGGATCGTTCACGGCTGCTCGATCCGCTTCTCCTTGCTGCTCCTGTGCTTCTACGTTTGCGAGGTTACTGTGCACGACGCTTCCACCCGCTCTCATTCCCCACCATGCACAATTGCAGACTTTCCGAGATCACACCGACTTCATGCGAGCGCTGTGCCTCCCCTTCCTCTTCCTCCTCCTGATCGCCCCCCCCCCCCTTCCTCTGCGGACGCCCGCTCCTCGCCCGCCGCCTCCCCCCCTCCCGGTGGGAGGGGAGGGCGCTCCCTTCCCCCCTCCCCCCCCGGGGCGAGAAGCCGCCCGCGAGGAGCGCGAGGAGGCCAGGCGAGACGCCAAGGACAACAGGAGGGAGAAGGGCAGGCTCGCGCAGGATCGGCGCGGGCCCCAACCCCCTGGCGAGGTCCAGGCATGGCGCTGCTGCTCGCTCTTTCCTCGTCGGTCTTTTCCTGCTCGTCTGCGTGCTGCTCCTCCTCGTCCTCGGTCCCCTCATCGTCGGCCTCCTCCTCCTGCTGCTCCTCCTCCTCCTGCTCCTCCTGCTGCTCGCCCTCCTCCCCATCATCTCATCTCATATCATCTTAACTATGGTGGCCTGAATGACTTCAGACGCTGCCATCCCACCCCCCCAGGGGTGGTCGTCCCTGAGGGGCGTGTGTGTCTTATCGAACTAGTATTCGAGGTAACCCCTGGTGAGTCAACGGCAGACTGCTGTAACATGTAGGATGAGAGCGAAAGCAAAACGAAGCAGAGGGGAGGGAGGAAAGGGGTGGGAATGACAGCATACCACGGTTGAAAGTGTGATAAGGCCCTCCTCTTCCTCCTCGTCATCATCACCATCATCATCACCATCAGCATGATCATCATCATCAGCATCATCATCATCATCATCATCATCATCATCATCATCACTATCACCATCCTCACCAACATCATCATCAACAACACGATCCTCTTCCTCCTCACATTTCATCCTCGTCCCCTGTGAGCTCATGGGTTTCATTGGGGGGACGGGATAGCGTGTTGTGCTTATGGGCGAGTGTGTGCAGGTTCCTCTAGTGCGAGTTCACCCACCGTGTGCTGTAGCAGCAACTCGGCCCCGATACTTGGGATGACCACCGCGACGAGCCGAATCGCTGAGTACAGCCAGTGCCAGGTCAAGCACGACCAGGCCCGCCACCACTGGGGCGTCGAATCAGTTCGTGGTCACTGTCAGTGAGAGTCTCCTCCTGCCCCTCTCCCTTCCTCTCCTTCTCGTTCTTCTCTTCACTTGGCCAGTCACTACGTCTAAAGCAATTGCGGGTGCAATCAGATGATCGTTCTTTATTCATTGTTTTGCCGATCGGCGCGGGCCCCCCAACCCCCTCTCCCCCCCCATGGAGTAGATCTTGGTTGTTTCTTGGCGCCTGTTTCGAGCGGGTGGAGTCCCCCAGAGGCCGCACTCTTGCAAACAGTCGCACGAAGCAGGTGTCCGGAGCCAGACCCCCCTCCCTTTCCCGCCCAATGTCGAAACGCCGAATGCAAAAAACGCTCACCTGTAAGTGTTGCAGCACGTGGTGGTCCCCGTCCACTGGGAGCTTAATCGTTAGGATAACAGCTAGTGTGCGTGCAGGTACAAGCTGCTCATTATTCGCCTCTTTCCCCTCCCCCTCCCGATTCCACCTTCACCTCCTGGCACACCACAGCCGCTGGAATTTCCCGATGCGCAGTCCCGTCGGCTGAAGGAGTTGGGCAGAGGCAGACTTGCCG